AGGTTTGATCTCCTAGTACATATTGCTTCATCAACTTATATATTGACCGACAAAAATGATAGTCATACTATATTTGTATACCATATTGTGTACCGCTTCTCTAATAAAAGTGGGCCCCATTGTATTGGTGGGCCCCACCTCCTGTTAGAGAGATGGTATACAAATATGGTATGCCTAGCTAGCATTGTTGTTATTGTTGACTGATTTAAATTAAGGGTAATGCTAGCTAGGCTTACCACATTTATATACCATATTGTGTACCATCTCTCTAAAAGAGGTGGAGCCCACTAATACAATCGGGGCCACCTCTACTAGAGATATGGTAGACAATGTAGTATATAAATGTGATATGCCTAGCATTTTCCTTTAAATTATGGGTTCAATTTAAACTTCCTTTATTATTGTTAACAATAATAACTGAAGTTTATAAAGTTATAAATTTGGTAAATAAAGTGACCCTGGTGTTTTGGCGGGCTCTAATAAGTAAAATTAAAAATTAAAATTTTGCTTGATGGATGATCAACAGATCGATGGCAATACATTTATCAATGAGGTGAAGGGGAAATATGTCTTGTTTTATATCTCGAGCCTGGGAAATATATCGAAAGAAGAACTTTTGCGGCTCACAAATCTGTATAAAAGAATTGATCAAGAGTATAATTGCAAGATTGTGTGGATCCCCATTGAGGGTAACTGGACGGATGAAAAAAAAGAGTCGCAGTTTATGGAATGGAGGAAGATGATGCCGTGGTACGCAGTGCAATATTTTTCCTCCCCATCCTACATGTACCTCAAGAAAGAGTGGAAAGTCAGGGGAAATTCCACGGTGGTGTTGATCAACCCCCAAGGAAAGGTTAAAAACACCAATGCGCTTCCCTCGATTAAGGATGCCAGTATCAATTTCTTTGATTTCCTGGATATTAAGGTCCACACAATGCTTAAGCCAGTAGTGGCTCATATTACAAAGGAGGACACCCAACTTCAACAATCGGTACGTATTTATTAATCAATGATACTATTTGCATTTCTTGATTACTTTGTTGACCAACTCTCTAATAAAAATGGAACTCACTAATGTATGGAAAACAAATTGTGCAATATTAATGAGTAATTATTCCGTTAAATTGTGCAAAGGATACAGCGCACTTTGTATAAATTGTGCAATATTAATGAGTAATTATTCCGTTAAATGCGCTTCAACAGATGGAAAACAAAGGATACACTTTCTTCATTGGAGGCAAAAACCAGAAAACGACCAGTGAGTTGTGCAACAAGATAATAAAAGCAAAGCCTGCCATTGAGAAAGAACTGAAAATACAGATTGGGTTAGCTACTGTTACGGCAGCATCAGAGACTGAGAAGACTTTCTGGAACGGCATGGAAAACCTCTTCTTTAGCTTGGCTCACTACAGCAAGGAGTACGAGTACGAGCAGGTGACAAAAGAAGTCCACAAGCTACTTTCTTACAAATTACACAAAGACGATATCGACGGATGGATTATGCTTACCAAAGGATGGACTGTGGTGACCTGTGGTCAGTCTAACACTATTTTCACAACCCTAGAGGAATTTTCTTTCTGGAAGCAACACATAATTGGGAAGGAATGGGGACATGCTTTCACCAAGCACCATGACCGTCTTATAACTGGGAAAAAAGGACTCTCCTGCATCACCTTTCAGATTGCTGGAAATGCCCCAATGCACTTGGACTGCCCAGTCTGTGACGACCCCATGGAGACCAAGTTGGTCAAATATAACTGCTGCCACCCTCGTCTGCAGAATGCTGCAAATTAAACAAGTCATCCCCATGGCTTTGTGTCCTTAGTAAAATGGGAGCTTTTACGTGCTGTTTTTTGTGTGTGTGTTTCTGCGGTGTCTGTAATTGGTTAAATAACGGGCAATGTCGTCGTCGTTACATTGGTAATGTCAGTCTGATGCCCGGCTGTGTGTTTAATTTCCAGTGTTCCTGTACGAAATAATTTGTTCATCTTTTGAATAATATGCTATGTGCTTATAATTTCATGCTTGCTCGAATATATTTATTTTCTTGGATGTCTATATTGCTTGAAACACTACAAGAAAAACAACCATTAGTAGCCATCCCAAATGCAGTTCATTGAAAAAAAAAATTAGTGAATTCCTTTATCAGACATTGATGAAAATGCTATATATTCGTGATCGCCAGTTTGATCATTAAAAGGCTTATAATTTGGTCACTGAAACACGAGTCACTTTGCCTATATATATTACTGACCCATCTATTTGGTCATTGAAACACATGTCACATAAATATAAGAGGGTTCAAACTCAGAAATCCATAGTCACCTCTAGATAAAATTTTAATACTAAAAAATAGTATAAATAACACAATATACTAGTAAAAAAAAACCCTTGCGCGATCAAACACAATTCGTCGCACAAAGTGACTTTGCGCGACGAAAATTAAACTTCGTCGCTCAAAGTCTTACGCGACTACATTTTGCGCAACGAAACACAAATCGTCGCACAAAGTCACTTTGCGCGACGACAAAGCATCGTTGCGAAAAGTAACTTTGAGCGACGAAACACTTAAATTCGGTGCACAAATTCTTGCGCGACGAAGTGTGGTTCGTCTCGTAAAGTCTTTTCACAAATAAATTAAATAAAAATTTATTTTTAAAAATCTATGCATGACTTTGCGCGACGAAACACTTCAGTTCGGTGCACAAATTCTTGCGCGACGAAGTGTGGTTCGTCTCGTAAAGTCTTTTCACAAATAAATTAAATAAAAATTTATTTTTAAAAATCTATGCATGACTTTGCGCGACGAAACACTTCAGTTCGGTGCACAAATTCTTGCGCGACGAAGTGTGGTTCGTCTCGTAAAGTCTTTTCACAAATAAATTAAATAAAAATTTATTTTTAAAAATCTATGCATGACTTTGCGCGACGAAACACTTCAGTTCGGTGCACAAATTCTTGCGCGACGAAGTGTGGTTCGTCTCGTAAAGTCTTTTCACAAATAAATTAAATAAAAATTTATTTTTAAAAATCTATGCATGACTTTGCGCGACGAAACACTTCAGTTCGGTGCACAAATTCTTGCGCGACGAAGTGTAGTTCGTCTCGTAAAGTATTTTTAAAAATAAATTAAATAAAAATTTATTTTTAAAAATCTATGCATGACTTTGCGTGACGAAAGACAAAAATTCGGTATCTTGATTTTTCGTTTATAACCGTCGAAATGTTTTGTCACGTTACTTGATCTCTGATTTATTTATTTTTCCTATTTTTTGCGTATATGATCTTGATGTGTAAACAAACAAGTTTGACGGTTGGATCGTTGAAATTAGTTTCGTAGAATGCGTATGCCATCAAAACAATATATTCAGTAACAATTAAGAGTTTATTTATACTTTCATTAAATACAACATAAGATTTTGTGGTATCCACTAGTGTAAATATTTTAAATTGAAGATCAAATTGGTTCATTGTATTCATATAGGGTCAAGGAGTGTAGCTGTAAAAAATCATCAAAATCAGAGTTGAAATAACCGTTAAATCTTGTTTTTAAAAAACCGTCATCTTTACTTCACAATAGACGACCATTGATTTTTGTTTATAACCATCGAAAAGTTTTGTCCCATTACGTGATCTCGGAATGTTTATTTTTTCTTATTTTTGGGGTACATGATCTCGAAGTATAAACAAACAAATTTGATGGTTGGATCGTTGAAACTAGTTTCATATAATACATATGCCATCAAAAAAATATATTCACTAACAATTAAGAGTTTATTTACTTTTGTTAAATATCACATAAGATTTTGTGGTATCCACTAGTGTAAATATTTTAAATTGATGATCGAATTGGTTCATTGTATTCATATAGGGTCAAGGAGTGTAGCTGTAAAAAAATCATCAAAAC